GTGATCGGGGTGACCCGGGTCGAGTCGGGCGAGCACGTTAATCCGCAAGTGAAGTGGGTTCGGCGAGGGAGGGCGCATGGGTCTGTGGTGAAGTCCCAGGAGGCCAAGCAAGACCATGGCGGGATTGAGGAGGCTTTGATTGAGGCTTTGAAGGCCTTGAGGGCTGAGATGTCTGAAGGTGCAGTGAGGGCTTGAGCTGGAGGGATGTGATTGGAGAGGAGGGAAATGAGAGGAAGGAGGAAGTAGGGGAGGAGGTTGAGGTTGTGCAGAGCCATAGCTTTTATGTTTTGAGTTTGTGTTTTGAGTTTTTGAGCTTTGAAAGAGAGATGGTTTTGAGCTTTTTTATGAAAGAAATGATGTGAAGTGTGGGGTAAGTGGCCGGTGGTGTGGGTTTTGGGATTTCAATAGAGGGTTCCTCTTTTTGTTTTTGTTTTTGGTTTGGGTGTCTATCTGGTTGGAGAGCACTAAGATTTTGGGGTACCAAGAATATTTAATTTTATTTATTTATGATGGATGGGGTGAATCTTCTGGCTGAAACTGAAAGGTGTTTCACATCACACACATGTGTCTACTACTTGTTGACATGTTGGTAATTTTAAAGTTTCTAATCAGGACTTCGGTTGGCTCAAAACCCACAAATTGACATTTTAAAATGGGATTAAAATCTCTCTTTCTTTGCTAATCTTGTTTTGGAGAGAAACTCTCATGCAAAACGGGGATAACAATTTATTATTCATGCCCAATAACATAATGACTCGTATGATAACTTTTCTACATGCCATTATTATTGACTGAGAATAGCAAAATAGTGTTATTCCCATTACAACTTACAAGTTAGGTTTTTTTGCTTGTTTTGGTATGAGATTCTGAGCTAATCTTAAGATATTTGCTTGCTGGCATGGTTGTTTTCTAGTAATATAGGCTAAGAACTAGTTGCATGGTGACATCTTCCTTGTGGGATAAAGGTCTCACAAAGACAGATAACGTCATTGCACAAGAAAGTCTATCAAAGGTTTGGGGGACATGGGTTGGTGCTTTGTAAGAAGGTAGTGACGATCAATTCATTAATAAGTGAAGAACATGATGTGTGTAAATGGTTGTCGGTGTATTGTCTAGGTAGAAGTACTCAAGTGTAAGCACCTTTGAAGCATAGTCTCACCCCTCTGCGGAGATTATAATCGAGTCTCCCAACATTTATAAGCTCACAAAAAGTGGTAGGTATGAACATTGGTACAATTTAACTCAACCAATTTAGTCCAGGCGAGCCACCAAACTAGAATTTGTCTCTCAAATTCCACTATGGGTAGGTAGCAATTAAAAATTTATATATTCTGATAAAATATACCAGATTTCACTAAATATTTAAAGGTAGTGCTTAATTTCATCATCCCAGCCTTATTTTGGTAAAAATTATTGCATGGAATTGGAATATGCGACCATATGATATAAGCAGACCGTGCTTAATTTTATCATCCCATCCTTATTTTGGTAACAATTATTGCATGGGATTGGAAGGCGGCCCTATGATATAAGGAGGCCATGCTTAGGTTCCTCATCCAAGCATTATTTTGGTAAAAATTATTACATGAGACCGAAAGACGGCCATATGATATAAGTAGTTTACGTATTATAATACGAGTGGATCGATGTGTGTGTAAAGAAAACGAAGAAAGTGCTGCTGATGTTGTCTAGACCTGGGCTTTCACTGGCCCAAAGCTTCAATTGGGCAACATATGCCCACACCTGACCTAGCCATGATTTTCTGAGTACAAAATAAAATCAACAATTTGTATAGTAGGGCCTGGAGGCCCTGCAATATCATTGGAGTATAAAAGTCAACTACAAACTCTACGCTACATCAATCCACATTCTATTATATTAGCAAACCAGAAAATCCCAACCTCCTGCTCACACCCAAGCCATGAAACCCACATTCTTCCTCCTCTTCTTCTTCCTTCTCTCCTCTATTTCCTTCTCCCACGCCAACACAGCCTACCCTTCTATTCCCGGCACCACCTCTGTAGAATATGGCGCCGACACCGACGCTCTGATTCCTCCTCGCCGCGAAGTGTATGGCAATGGCCGAATCTTCGACGTCAGCCACCGCTACAGCACCAACATGCCCGCCTTTGAGACCAACGACGGGGTTGGAGAGTTCCTGTGGCTACCCAATAGCATGAAGAACGGCTCCCTCGCCAACAACTCTGAGTTTAAGCTGCCCACTCACACTGGTACCCATGTCGATGCCCCTGGCCACGTCTTCGATCACTACTTCGATGCCGGCTTCGACGTCGATACGCTTGACTTGGAAGTGCTTAATGGTATTTGATTCTTCTCTGTTTCGTTGATGTTGATCATGGGGTCATGAGTCATGGATTGTTTTGTGTTTCAGAGGAGGTTGATGTGGTTTTGAGTGAGTGAGTGAGTGCTATGTGTTCGACGAAATTACACAAGTTTATATGTTTCTATGGGGGGTTTGGAGCTGTATGAGGTAGGCAAGAGGGGCTGCTGGTTTTTTTATAGTTGAAAACGTGGAAAAAGGGTTTTCCGGATTTTGCTCTTTTGGGTGTCCTGAAGTAGTCTGTCTTTCTTTGAGTTTCAGCAATTGGGTTTGCTTTTCTTTGTGATGTTTTCCTCTTGGTATCGTCGATGCATATTAGCTTCTGACCCTGTTCACGATATAAGGTAGAAAAGGGGAAAAAGTTTATTACTTGTGTTGCTATTGCTTGTGCCACTGACATGTTTCTGATGATTATATGTGTTTGTGTCAATAGGTCCGGCATTGTTAGTTGACGTTCCGAGGGATAAGAACATAACTGGTATGTATTTCTGTTCCTGACTATCTATTCTTTATGTGGAGGAACGCATAGCCTGCTGTTTCAGTTGATATGGCCTTATCATTCTGTCACAATATGCATAGAAATATGTAGGCCTTCCCGTATGTAGGCCATCTCTACTGCTTACTCAGCAACGGGAAGGCCAGATAAGTAGCATTTTGGTTGCTAAACAAACTGTACTAGTAAAGGAGTGAGGAGAACATATCAATGTATTATACTTCATTGTTTTTCAGTTTTTGACTGTCGTATATTTACTTATTACAGCTGAAGTTATGAAGTCCTTACATATTCCCAAGGGGGTACGTCGTGTGCTGTTTAGAACCTTAAACACAGACAGGTACTTTTATATGAATGGTCTTTATATACAATTGCCACTAAACACACACAAACACACACTCACTCACAGGTGTCTACCAGTTAAGTTGTATAAATGCAGTGCTTCTGGTCTTCTATCTGTCATATATTTGTTAATGTGCAAAATGGTAAACTGATTTAGTATGTAATTGCTGGTTTAGTGTTATACTTAGCTCATAGGCTAAGCTGTCTATAATAGTCAAACGGTTTGTTAAGTCTCATAGGACTTGACTGGACAGGTGTCATAATCTTACTAATAGTGTAGTTGGATGGTTGAGATTGAAGCTAGGATTTGTCTAGCTCTCTCTCTCTCTCTCTTCTAACAGTAATATGAGCTGTGAGTGAAACAGCTCCTTATACCCAACGAAATACAAAAGTTTTACAGAGCATTTTATTTCCTTCACTCTCTTCTTCAATATACCCATTCCTCCATTTTTATCAGAAGCTTATTAAACACTAACAATATTCTTAGATGGTTTATATTTTGATCCTTCGGTCTGTAGTTTCTAGTAAGAATGCCTTGTTTGTTTAACTAACCATTTTCGGATAAACAAGGAAACTGTTATGTCTGAGGTGACCTTATCCTCTTTTTTATCATTCCTTCCATCCACCTTTTCTTCATATATTTTCCCAAAACTTGCTTGTATCAATGATTGTACTACTGAAGTTTCTATTAATTCAATTTGATCCATAAGTGTGAAACTATTGCTGAATATTAACTAGCTTACTGCAATTTTAGACGGCTTATGTTCCAAAAGGAGTTTGACAGCAGCTATGTGGGATTTATGAAGGATGGAGCACAGTGGTTGGTGGACAACACTGACATTAAACTTGTTGGTGAGATGTACATTTGCATTTCTTTTTTGGCTTAATAGTTGTTTTTTGCTTGTACTCTTTTTTTCTTTTTTCAAATCTCACTTTACCCCTGTACTTTCTACTGCCTTAATTTACTCGTGTACTTTAACTTCATCTGTCAACTTGCCCCCTGTTAATGGATTCTTTGACGGAATTGGACAAGGCAAGACACAAAGTTAAATAGAAGGGGTAAAGTGAGATTTGGAAAAATGTATAAGTGCAAAATAATGTTTAAGACTTTTTTTGGGCATAACGTGCAGTTTACAAGAGATATAGAGTTCACTCTTGACTTTTCTAATCGACCAATATGATGTCTCAATCTTTCATACAAGGACCACTACAAATCTCAATTGATTTGTTAAGTGGATCAAACTTAACAGGCACCTCTTAAATTTGAGTAGTTTATGGAAGATGTATTCTATGTCCATTATATTCCTTTTATTGAGTGAGAACTTTCTCTGTGAAACATTAGGTTTGTAAATTCGTTTGAAACTGTGACATTATTGTTCAGCGTGCATTTGTATTTAGGGTATGAAATGTATTTAAGTTCTTTCTCAGTGGGGGACTGTTGATTTCCTTGCTTTCTATATTATGATTTCTGTTCCTTCATTTGAAGCTGATGCTTTTCTCTGTTATGAAATGTAGGAATTGATTACTTATCCGTTGCTGCATATGATGATTTGATTCCGTCCCACCTTGTTTTTCTAGAAGGAAGGGTAAGAAAATCTATATTTGATGAATCAAGATTTTTTTTAAATTATTTTTTTTCCGAGGTCATGACTGTTTTAGTTGGATTAGTTCTAGTTGGTAGATTGTTTGTTGCCATCCAATCACAGTCCAACATTAATAAGTGTAGCACCAAAAGATGAGGAAAGATAATAGAAAAGACCACAACTTCGTCCGAATTGATGACTGTTTGATTACAAATAGGACCGTGATCTACCAACTAGATGTCTCCATTTCTCAGAGAAATAGTGAGGTTCCCGAAAACTTGTTTTTGCAGCCCCAACAAACTTGTGTTTTTTTTGTGTGTGCTGAACTACCTTCACAAAATACAAAGAACCGGGTTTTCTAACATGGTGTTCTGGTTCAACCAGAAATGCAGTTTCAACTCAACACTAACACTGCTTTAATGTTTCAGGAAATCATTCTTGTTGAAGCGTTAAAACTTGATGACATCCAACCAGGGATATATTCTGTCCACTGCTTACCTTTGAGGTTGCCGGGTGCTGAAGGATCGCCAATAAGATGCATTCTTATCAAATGAGGCATCTGCTTTGTGTTTTTATCTTTGTAAGTTTTATCTTTTGAAAGTCTATCTTGAACCATCGAAACCCAATCCCATGCTGAAGGCATTTGTCTTTTTGGTTTTGACGTGGGAATATAAATCAGCTTGTGAAAAAGTCACTCTTGGTCCCTGTAGTTTGGCACTTCAACCATTTTTGACCCTGTAGTTTTAATTCCGTCAATTTTGCCATTGTAGTTTCGTATTTGTAGCAATTCAAGGACAACTTAGTATTCTTGTCAATTTCTTTGACGGTGCAAGGGGCAATTTCGTCAACCACTAATCCCAATTTTTGAAGAACCCTAAACCCTAATGGCCAATTTTAAGCCCTAATATGAAATGAGAAGAGTTTCAAACGAGCTTTTACACTCAAGGGCTTTGGGTTGACGAAATTGCCCCTTCCACCGTCAAAGAAATTGATGGGAATGCTAACTTGTCCTTGAATTGCTACAAATACGAAATTACAATGGCAAAATTGACAGAATTGAAACTACAGGGTCAAAAGCGGTTGAAGTGCCAAACTACAAAGACCAAGAGTGATGTTTGACCTTCTTCCTTTTATCAGTTTGAATGGTTCACCTTATTCTTTTCTTCAGTTTGATCGAGAGATGCTTATTCTTTTTGTCAATTCGAGAAGTACGCCTTCTTTAGCTACTCATATTTGTTGCAGGAATCGATGATCGCCCCAGGAAAAGTAGCATATAATAAAGAAGCAATGCCAAGTTTGAAGATGAACATGGATCGTGCTTGCAAGGACTGGGATAGAGATGCAATACTACCATGTTCTAGTGGCCCTACCGTTACCTGTTAAACATACAATATCCAATGCTTCTTTTGTTTATTCAGTATCCAACACATGAGTTGGTCTAAGAACGTATAGAGGAGAGGGTGAGAAATTACTTGAGAAAAAGTTTCTGTTGTTTGTCAAATGGGAATTAAAACTGCTTAGTATTTTGGACCTCAATCGCATACATCAGCTAGTGTACTTAAACAGATGCATGCTATATGTTTTTCTTCCAAATGCAGAATAAATTCAAAGAAACAATTATCTAAGAAGTTTTTCTTTGAAATTTGTGTGAAGTTAATTACTGTTGTAGAATCCTTACAACCACTAGACAAACAATATATATTAATGCATGTGGAGATCAAGGCAGATGCATGTGTTTGCACCAGAATTTGCACTTTTTTTTTGGTCATATGTGGCAAAAATACGTGATCTAGGTTAAATATAGGAAAATTTAAGATATTCTTGAAAATATTATCTTGATTTTATGAAATAATTCTTATGAAATAATATTAATATTATTTTTATTGAGAAAATCTTATAAATTATCTTTGATTTGACTGGCATGCAAGATAATATTTCCTAGATTTATACAATAATTTAATATGGCCAAAATATGACCAATATTAGCTTTATTTGGAAGGAAATAAATATTAAGTGGTAATTCTCTTCTCCCCAATGATGGCGATTTGATATGATTTGTCAAGGGAGCTAAACTAGGAAATTATTTTGCAATCAGAAGTCTTGCATGCCAAGTAATCTTGGCGGCCAAGGAAGCTAACTACCATATAAAGAGGATACAAAGAATAACAATACACACAACTTTTTAACAACAAATCGATACAAACCCTAATTCATTTCTCAAGGCATATTGGTTTATTGATAATTGTCATGCCATACCCTACTTTAGTATCGATTTCCAATTGATCCGCATCAATTGAAGGCACTGTGCTTGATCATAGTGCAAGTTCTGACATAATTCCTCGACTGTTGCCAACCTCTCAAGCCTCTAATAGATTCAAAAGTGATCTAAGGTGGTAGTACTCCCAGTTCTGATCAAATCCAGTGATCTGATTCCTTTTGTTTACTCGTTATTTGTCATTTTATTCATTTCCTTTGTATTATAGTCTATATATATATATATATTCTAATAGAAGGGTATCCCTCATAAATAATATGTAGAGAATAAGTCTACACACAAGCTGATAAATCTTCGGCTGTTTATTTTATATTTATATTTCAGACATGCAAATACATATATTTATCTTATTTAAGGCCGTACGTCAACAAGTGCATGCTGCCTTATTGCCATAGAGTTTAGCGGTTGCCGAAGTTGGAAACTCCCACAGTCTTCTTTCCTGAGTTTCTATTGACTTTGTTTCCAGTAACCTCGAACTTGGCGTTGCCAGTAACTTTGTTGCCAAAGTTGGAAACTCCTTCGGTCTCCTCGCTTGTGTTGTCGCAAACCTCATTCTCGTTAACATGGAATGTAGGCTCGTCCTGGTTCACACCCAACAGCTTACCAACGAACCTGAGAGCCATTTTGTCAGTGGGATGGGAGGCTTAAAAACTAGTTTGCTCACTCGATTGGCTTAGCTTACTTTTGATTTGATTAACCATGCTACTCCCCCTTAATATATATATAGTAGTTCAAACTTCAAAAGTCGATCCTGGTGATTATTCTTTTAATCTGTTTGAGTGGTTCAGCTTATATTTTTCATCAACTTGAGTGAGGGACCTTTATTCCCTTTCAATTCGAGTGGCACAATCTTCGGTAGCTACTCATTTTTATCGAGGAATGGATAGAGATGCGATGGAAATTATCATTGGAATCATGTTCTGGTGGCCCTACAATATCTAATGCTTCTTTGAACCTTCAATATCCAACACATGCGTTGGTCTAAGAAGGGAATAAAAAACTGCTTACGTAGTTTGGACCTCAATCGCATACATCAGCCAAATGCATGAAATTGTTACCCTAATTAGTGGCGGATCCAAGAATTTTCATTCCGGGAGTCAATGTGTAAAAGGTTAAAATTTTTTTTATACAAAATAGACCCATTGAAATGAAACCATAATACTCTAATTCATAGTTAATAGATAAAACCATACAAAATACTCATGTTCATTATTAAAGAGAACTGCATCAACTTCAAAAAATAGACACACATTGCAATACACTAGAAATATCTCTAAGAATGTGATAATAAACCAAAAAAATTTGCGCAATCCTCTTCGCCTCCCAGGCGTCTCGTCCTATTTGACATAAAAACTAGCATATATTAGCGCAATCCTGCTCATTTTATGGCGTTTACGTCATTTTTTAGGTCCGTTGTAGTTTTGATTTTGGGCTTTATTTGCATTTTTTTGGGGTTCTAGCTCTCAAACTTTGGACCCTTATGAGTACTGTCTTAAGGGGAGCTTATTCAGGTAAATATATCTTTAATACGTAAGAGTTAGGTTATTCTTGTAAAACTCTTTGTGGATTGAACATATAAGGTTTTTTTACCTAGATTGACCTTAGGTCCCTTCATGTGTTCATATCATACATGAAAAATTGTTTTATGTAAAAATATTGGCTAAGTATGAAAAATGGTTTGTTAGAATAATCATTTTCTCAAGATAATTTTTTGCGGCTTTTATTCCTTACACATTGTTGAGGCCCAAAAAATCAAGGGTTGGGCCCAAATAAATTCCCGGCCCAGTGCGACACCTTATTAAGAAGAAACTCGATTCGGAGCATGCGGAATTCGTCATGCACGCTTTCACGAGCCATGCCAAATAAATATACAATTTATCACGCTAGGAATTAAAATGAGCCTATAAAAGGCATTGGCTCTACAAGCTCATGCTAATTATTTTGTCAAGCATTATGTCTCTTTTCAAAGATGACAAAATTCAAGCACGCCAAGCGACATGCAATGCCAAGCAGGAAATCATTATTTCACACAGCCACGCTACAAGCTTAAGTGGGCCCAAGCCACGCAAATGCCCGGGGCTTGCGTGAGTGGGTTGTGGTATGGATGGTAACGAGCTTTCATGGGGCCCATTGATGAGGCAAGAAATGGAAGTTTTGGGCTGCTTGGGAGCCCCAAAACTCAAGCCCATTTCTTGAGCCCAAACACATGGGTTAGCATGAGAGGGGAGAGAATATGACCCAAAGCCTTAGGAAGAATACAATGGTCTGCTTAGAAAACCCTGTGTTAATTAGAATGCCCAAAGTACTTTGTTAAAAACGCAACAGGCAAACTGCTTCCAGCAGCTTGACGAAAACCTATCAAACGATAGAAGTAACAAGCTAAAGACCCAACACTGTACATACGAGCCCAGCACAGCAACTTGTAGAAAAGCTGTCATCGTGCTCCACTGTTGCATTCCTAAAAGGACACAAATTAATGTGCAAACAACCAATTAAAAATACCCGCAAGTGCACGAATCTATCGAAGTATAGATTATGTAAGTACGGGGTCGATCCCACGAAGAACTTGTCGGCTTCCTATAAGTTCTAATTTGAGTACGTAAAGAACACTAATTTAACACACCACAAATGCACAAATGCAAATTGGAAACTAAAAATGAGTAAAGAAATGTAAAAGAAATGAAACAACAAAAGAAACCAAAGAAAAACAGAAACAGCACTTTCTATCACCCTTTTATCACCCATTTATCACCTGTGAACAGTACCGTGAACAGTGAAAATGAACAGTGCGACCGGTCGTTTTTGGGCAGATTCGTTTCTCTGTTTTTCCAGTTTCGACCTCTGTC